CACCCTGTGTTCTGGGACATACAGGCGTACAGGTGACTAACATACACCCTGTGTTCTGGGACATACAGGTGACTAACTTACACCCTGTGTTCTGGGACATACAGGCATACAGGTGACTAACTTACACCCTGTGTTCTGGGACATACAGGCAACTAACTTACACCCTGTGTTCTGGGACATACAGGCATACAGGTGACTAGCTTACACCCTGTGTTCTGGGACATACAGGCATACAGGTGACTAACATACACCCTGTGTTCTGGGACATACAGGCATACAGGTGACTAACTTACACCCTGTGTTCTGGGACATACAGGCATACAGGTGACTAACTTACACCCTGCGTTCTGGGACATACAGGCATACAGGTGACTAACTTACACCCTGTGTGTTCTGGGACATACAGGCATACAGGTGACTAACTTACACCCTGTGTGTTCTGGGACATACAGGCATACAGGTGACTAACATACACCCTGTGTTCTGGGACATACAGGTGACTAACTTACACCCTGTGTTCTGGGACATACAGGCATACAGGTGACTAACTTACACCCTGTGTTCTGGGACATACAGGCATACAGGTGACTAACTTACACCCTGTGTTCTGGGACATACAGGCATACAGGTGACTAACTTACACCCTGTGTTCTGGGACATACAGGCATACAGGTGACTAACTTACACCCTGTGTTCTGGGACATACATGCATACAGGTGACTAACTTACACCCTGTGTTCTGGGACATACAGGCATACAGCTGACTAACTTACACCCTGTGTTCTGGGACATACAGGCATAGAGGTGACTAACTTACACCCTGTGTTCTGGGACATACAGGCAACTAACTTACACCCTGTGTTCTGGGACATACAGGCATACAGGTGACTAACTTACACCCTGTGTTCTGGGACATACAGGCATACAGGTGACTAACTTACACCCTGTGTTCTGGGACATACAGGCATACAGGTGACTAACTTACACCCTGTGTTCTGGGACATACAGGCATACAGGTGACTAACTTACACCCTGTGTTCTGGGACATACAGGCATACAGGTGACTAACATACACCCTGTGTTCTGGGACATACAGGCATACAGGTGACTAACTTACACCCTGTGTTCTGGGACATACAGGCATACAGGTGACTAACTTACACCCTGTGTTCTGGGACATACAGGCGTACAGGTGACTAACATACACCCTGTGTTCTGGGACATACAGGCATACAGGTGACTAACTTACACCCTGTGTTCTGGGACATACAGGCATACAGGTGACTAACTTACACCCTGTGTTCTGGGACATACAGGCATACAGGTGACTAACTTACACCCTGTGTTCTGGGACATACAGGCATACAGGTGACTAACTTACACCCTGTGTTCTGGGACATACAGGCATACAGGTGACTAACTTACACCCTGTGTTCTGGGACATACAGGCATACAGGTGACTAACATACACCCTGTGTTCTGGGACATACAGGCATACAGGTGACTAACTTACACCCTGTGTTCTGGGACATACAGGCATACAGGTGACTAACTTACACCCTGTCATCTGGGACATACAGGCATACAGGTGACTAACATACACCCTGTGTTCTGGGACATACAGGCATACAGGTGACTAACTTACACCCTGTGTTCTGGGACATACAGGCATACAGGTGACTAACTTACACCCTGTGTTCTGGGACATACAGGCATACAGGTGACTAACTTACACCCTGTGTTCTGGGACATACAGGCATACAGGTGACTAACTTACACCCTGTGTTCTGGGACATACAGGCATACAGGTGACTAACTTACACCCTGTGTTCTGGGACATACAGGCATACAGGTGACTAACATACACCCTGTGTTCTGGGACATACAGGCATACAGGTGACTAACTTACACCCTGTGTTCTGGGACATACAGGCATACAGGTGACTAACTTACACCCTGTGTTCTGGGACATACAGGCATACAGGTGACTAACTTACACCCTGTGTTCTGGGACATACAGGCATACAGGTGACTAACTTACACCCTGTGTTCTGGGACATACAGGCATACAGGTGACTAACTTACACCCTGTGTTCTGGGACATACAGGCATACAGGTGACTAACATACACCCTGTGTTCTGGGACATACAGGCATACAGGTGACTAACTTACACCCTGTGTTCTGGGACATACAGGCATACAGGTGACTAACTTACACCCTGTGTTCTGGGACATACAGGCATACAGGTGACTAACATACACCCTGTGTTCTGGGACATACAGGCAACTAACTTACACCCTGTGTTCTGGGACATACAGGCATACAGGTGACTAACTTACACCCTGTGTTCTGGGACATACAGGCATACAGGTGACTAACTTACACCCTGTGTTCTGGGAAATACAGGCATACAGGTGACTAACTTACACCCTGTGTTCTGGGACATACAGGCATACAGGTGACTAACTTACACCCTGTGTTCTGGGACATACAGGCATACAGGTGACTAACATACACCCTGTGTTCTGGGACATACAGGCATACAGGTGACTAACTTACACCCTGTGTTCTGGGACATACAGGCATACAGATGACTAACTTACACCCTGTGTTCTGGGACATACAGGCATACAGGTGACTAACTCACACCCTGTGTTCTGGGACATACAGGCATACAGGTGACTAACTTACACCCTGTGTTCTGGGACATACAGGCATACAGGTGACTAACTTACACCCTGTGTTCTGGGACATACAGGCAACTAACTTACACCCTGTGTTCTGGGACATACAGGCATACAGGTGACTAACTTACACCCTGTCATCTGGGACATACAGGCATACAGGTGACTAACATACACCCTGTGTTCTGGGACATACAGGCATACAGGTGACTAACTTACACCCTGTGTTCTGGGACATACAGGCATACAGGTGACTAACTTACACCCTGTATTCTGGGACATACAGGCATACAGGTGACTAACTTACACCCTGTGTTCTGGGACATACAGGCATACAGGTGACTAACTTACACCCTGTGTTCTGGGACATACAGGCATACAGGTGACTAACATACACCCTGTGTTCTGGGACATACAGTCATACAGGTGACTAACTTACACCCTGTGTTCTGGGACATACAGGCATACAGGTGACTAACATACACCCTGTGTTCTGGGACATACAGGCATACAGGTGACTAACTTACACCCTGTGTTCTGGGACATACAGGCAACTAACTTACACCCTGTGTTCTGGGACATACAGGCATACAGGTGACTAACTTACACCCTGTGTTCTGGGACATACAGGCATACAGGTGACTAACTTACACCCTGTGTTCTGGGACATACAGGCATACAGGTGACTAACTTACACCCTGTGTTCTGGGACATACAGGCATACAGGTGACTAACTTACACCCTGTGTTCTGGGACATACAGGCATACAGGTGACTAACTTACACCCTGTGTTCTGGGACATACAGGCATACAGGTGACTAACTTACACCCTGTGTTCTGGGACATACAGGCATACAGGTGACTAACTTACACCCTGTGTTCTGGGACATACAGGCGTACAGGTGACTAACTTACACCCTGTGTTCTGGGACATACAGGTGACTAACTTACACCCTGTGTTCTGGGACATACAGGCATACAGGTGACTAACTTACACCCTGTGTTCTGGGACATACAGGCAACTAACTTACACCCTGTGTTCTGGGACATACAGGCATACAGGTGACTAGCTTACACCCTGTGTTCTGGGACATACAGGCATACAGGTGACTAACATACACCCTGTGTTCTGGGACATACAGGCATACAGGTGACTAACTTACACCCTGTGTTCTGGGACATACAGGCATACAGGTGACTAACTTACACCCTGCGTTCTGGGACATACAGGCATACAGGTGACTAACTTACACCCTGTGTGTTCTGGGACATACAGGCATACAGGTGACTAACTTACACCCTGTGTGTTCTGGGAAATACAGGCATACAGGTGACTAACATACACCCTGTGTTCTGGGACATACAGGTGACTAACTTACACCCTGTGTTCTGGGACATACAGGCATACAGGTGACTAACTTACACCCTGTGTTCTGGGACATACAGGCATACAGGTGACTAACTTACACCCTGTGTTCTGGGACATACAGGCATACAGGTGACTAACTTACACCCTGTGTTCTGGGACATACAGGCATACAGGTGACTAACTTACACCCTGTGTTCTGGGACATACATGCATACAGGTGACTAACTTACACCCTGTGTTCTGGGACATACAGGCATACAGCTGACTAACTTACACCCTGTGTTCTGGGACATACAGGCATAGAGGTGACTAACTTACACCCTGTGTTCTGGGACATACAGGCAACTAACTTACACCCTGTGTTCTGGGACATACAGGCATACAGGTGACTAACTTACACCCTGTGTTCTGGGACATACAGGCATACAGGTGACTAACATACACCCTGTGTTCTGGGACATACAGGCATACAGGTGACTAACTTACACCCTGTGTTCTGGGACATACATAAAAAAAGAAATGGTTCTACCTCCTCACTATCCCAATCCAACATTATTTAGAGTCAATATTTCTGAACGTTTGCATCAGGGGTCACTCATACATGTGTTCAGCACTTGCACAGTTTCAATGTACCACCAGTTTCACTCCAAAATCCATTTAACCCCCACAACCTGAATTTCTTTCATTAAAATACTTGTTTCGTTAATCATGATAATGTCACAATAGGGAAGAGAGTTTATGGATGTCAACTTCTGTATTTTGAGGAACCTGATGAAGGAGTAAGCATATACTCCGAAATGTTGTGTTCCTCATAATAAAGAAGTTGACATCCATAAATTCTCTTCCTTATGCGTATCACTTCTAAATGCCTTTCAAAGGCTTGATGTCCCACTAGATTCCACACTTGACAGACACTGTGTCTGTCCACACCTCAACTGATCTCACCTTCTCAAACTCGGCATCAATCTGCTGCAGCAGGGCAGCCTTTTCATCCTCGAAGAACATCCTGAGTTGTGGCCCCATGTACAGGTGCACTGTACCTAGCAGGCCGATAGCTGCCCCTCTCACTGCCTGCAACAAACAGTCCCCCATCAGCAGCTGCATCTCAGGAGCCTGACAGCTACATCAGTTATGACACAGAAGCCTGACAGCTACATCAGTTACGACACAGAAGACTGACAGCTACATCCGTTACGACACAGAATACCTTACAACTACATCAGTTACGACACAGAAGCCTGACAGCTACATCAGTTATGACACAGAAGCCTGACAGCTACGACACAGAAGCCTGACAGCTACATCAGTTACAACACAGAAGCCTGACAGCTACATCAGTTACGACACAGAAGCCTGACAGCTACATCAGTTACGACACAGAAGCCTGACAGCTACATCAGTTACGACACAGAAGCCTGACAGCTACATCAGTTACGACACAGAAGCCTGACAGCTACATCAGTTACGACACAGAAGACTGACAGCTACATCAGTTACGACACAGAAGCCTGACAGCTACATCAGTTATGACACAGAAGCCTGACAGCTACGACACAGAAGCCTGACAGCTACATCAGTTACGACACAGAAGCCTGACAGCTACATCAGTTACGACACAGAAGCCTGACAGCTACATCAGTTACGACACAGAAGCCTGACAGCTACATCAGTTACGACACAGAAGCCTGACAGCTACATCAGTTACGACACAGAAGACTGATAGCTACATCAGTTACGACACAGAAGCCTGACAGCTACATCCGTTACGACACAGAAGCCTTACAACTACATCAGTTACGACACAGAAGCCTGACAGCTACATCAGTTACGACACTGAAGCCTGACAGCTACATCAGTTACGACACAGAAGCCTGACAGCTACATCAGTTACGACACAGAAGCCTGACAGCTACATCAGTTACGACACAGAAGCCTGACAGCAACATCAGTTATGACACAGAAGCCTGACAGCTACGACACAGAAGCCTGACAGCTACATCAGTTACAACACAGAAGCCTGACAGCTACATCAGTTACGACACAGAAGCCTGACAGCTACATCAGTTACGACACAGAAGACTGACAGCTACATCCGTTACGACACAGAATACCTTACAACTACATCAGTTACGACACAGAAGCCTGACAGCTACATCAGTTATGACACAGAAGCCTGACAGCTACGACACAGAAGCCTGACAGCTACATCAGTTACAACACAGAAGCCTGACAGCTACATCAGTTACGACACAGAAGCCTGACAGCTACATCAGTTACGACACAGAAGCCTGACAGCTACATCAGTTACGACACAGAAGACTGATAGCTACATCAGTTACGACACAGAAGCCTGACAGCTACATCCGTTACGACACAGAAGACTATCAGCTACATCAGTTACGACACAGAAGCCTGACAGCTACATCAGTTATGACACAGAAGCCTGACAGCTACGACACAGAAGCCTGACAGCTACATCAGTTACGACACAGAAGCCTGACAGCTACATCAGTTATGACACAGAAGCCTGACAGCTACATCAGTTACGACACAGAAGCCTGACAGCTACATCAGTTACGACACAGAAGCCTGACAGCTACATCAGTTACGACACAGAAGACTGACAGCTACATCCGTTACGACACAGAAGCCTTCCAAATACATCAGTTACGACACAGAAGCCTGACAGCTACATCAGTTATGACACAGAAGCCTGACAGCTACGACACAGAAGCCTGACAGCTACATCAGTTACAACACAGAAGCCTGACAGCTACATCAGTTACGACACAGAAGCCTGACAGCTACATCAGTTACGACACAGAAGCCTGACAGCTACATCAGTTACGACACAGAAGACTGATAGCTACATCAGTTAAGACACAGAAGCCTGACAGCTACATCCGTTACGACACAGAAGACTGACAGCTACATCAGTTACGACACAGAAGCCTGACAGCTACATCAGTTATGACACAGAAGCCTGACAGCTACGACACAGAAGCCTGACAGCTACATCAGTTACGACACAGAAGCCTGACAGCTACATCAGTTACGACACAGAAGCCTGACAGCTACATCAGTTATGACACAGAAGCCTGACAGCTACATCAGTTACGACACAGAAGCCTGACAGCTACATCAGTTACGACACAGAAGCCTGACAGCTACATCAGTTACGACACAGAAGCCTGACAGCTACATCAGTTACGACACAGAAGCCTGACAGCTACATCAGTTACGACACTGAAGCCTGACAGCTACATCAGTTACGACACAGAAGCCTGACAGCTACATCAGTTACGACACAGAAGCCTGACAGCTACATCAGTTACGACACTGAAGCCTGACAGCTACATCAGTTACGACACTGAAGCCTGACAGCTACATCAGTTACGACACAGAAGCCTGACAGCTACATCAGTTACGACACAGAAGCCTGACAGCTACATCAGTTACGACACAGAAGCCTGACAGCTACATCCGTTACGACACAGAAGCCTGACAGCTACGACACAGAAGCCTGACAGCTACGACACAGAAGCCTGACAGCTACATCAGTTACGACACAGAAGACTGACAGCTACATCAGTTACGACACTGAAGCCTGACAGCTACATCAGTTACGACACAGAAGCCTGACAGCTACATCAGTTACGACACAGAAGCCTGACAGCTACATCAGTTACGACACAGAAGCCTGACAGCTACATCAGTTACGACACAGAAGCCTGACAGCTACATCAGTTACGACACTGAAGCCTGACAGCTACATCAGTTACGACACAGAAGCCTGACAGCTACATCAGTTACGACACAGAAGCCTGACAGCTACATCAGTTACGACACAGAAGCCTGACAGCTACATCAGTTACGACACAGAAGCCTGACAGCTACGACACAGAAGCTTGACAGCTACGACACAGAAGCCTGACAGCTACATCAGTTACGACACAGAAGACTGACAGCTACATCAGTTACGACACAGAAGCCTGACAGCTACATCAGTTACAACACAGAAGACTGACAGCTACATCAGTTACAACACAGAAGCCTGACAGCTACATCAGTTACGACACTGAAGCCTGACAGCTACATCAGTTACGACACAGAAGCCTGACAGCTACATCAGTTACGACACAGAAGCCTGACAGCTACATCAGTTACGACACTGAAGCCTGACAGCTACATCAGTTACGACACAGAAGCCTGACAGCTACATCAGTTACGACACAGAAGCCTGACAGCTACATCAGTTACGACACAGAAGCCTGACAGCTACATCAGTTACGACACTGAAGCCTGACAGCTACATCAGTTACGACACAGAAGCCTGACAGCTACATCAGTTACGACACAGAAGCCTGACAGCTACATCAGTTACGACACTGAAGCCTGACAGCTACATCAGTTACGACACAGAAGCCTGACAGCTACATCAGTTACGACACAGAAGCCTGACAGCTACATCAGTTACGACACAGAAGCCTGACAGCTACATCAATTACACCACACAGAATTTGAATCAAAGGACCCCAAAATTTAATCTTTAACATTTGGCTCATGACAAGGATCCCTCTACTTATGCTCAACTTCCAACACTGGTCAGATGGTCTAGATGTATGGCTTCATAGACTGTGTTACAACAGACAAAACACAATAATGAGTGAGTGAGTATGGTTTTACGCCGCTTTTAGCAATATTCCAGCAATATCACGGCGGGGGACACCAGAAATGGGCTTCACACATTGTACCCATGTCGGCATTCGAACCCAGATCTTCGGCGTGACGAGCGAACGCTTTAACCACTAGGCTACCCGACCGCCCCCACAATCATAATATTATTATTTACAATATAAAACAATGATGTAAAGAAACGTCTAAATGTTGAGACCATATTCAACCGTAAATAGACTATCCATATTGCTGAACAGCGTGCATTGTCGACTTACTGGATTGGTAGCAGCCAGTGCCTTCTTGATATTCTCGATCATTGGCTTAATGTTTACTCTGTAAACACAATCACAAAGCATAAAAATTACAAGATAATATTTCCTGGCAATGTTAGCATACTCTAATTATTTCTCGTTCTGGAACCAATATCATATATTTTTATACTAACATTCAATCACTGATATTGACACAGCAAATGGAGAAAGCTTAATAACAACACTATGGATATACATTCTACATACTTCCAAAATGTTAACTATATCTATATTAAACCTAAACAGATCACATCGGAAAAAAATACCAATAAAGTAGAAGTGAGTCAATAATTTTCACTTACTTGAATCCGAAGTCTCGTACCGCCTGTGTCAACCAGACCATGGACTCCGATTGGTTCTTTGGGTTTTTCTGTTCAAAAGCACACCTAATAACCTGTAGACAAAAATGACAAATCGTTACGGCTGTGTATTGGCAAAAAAATTGTATTGCAGGTTCAGGTGCCTGTATTGTAGCACGTACAGGGGTAACAACAAATGTGCATGTAGCCAGCAGGGCTTGCTCCTTTCAAAAGTTACTGGCCCTTCTCTAAACTAACTGGCCTACAACACAATGATGGAGGCAACAAGGCAGCCGAACCCGAATCATATCGTGACTGAGTTACCAAGAGAACTATGAAAATTTCCTAACCCCATCCCTCTTTTCCTGCACTCTGAGATTAAATCTTTACTTCCATTTGCCTCATTTTGTGGTGATTTTTGAGAAAATAAAGATGCTGTTGTACACAACATTACAGAATGGCGACTGATTGTGTCATTTTACCAAGCAGATCAGGATATAACTTTCCTTGAGTTAACCATTCACACGATCTCATCCCCCCTAATTATAATCAAAATTACATGCTTCACAAGCATTGTCAAACTTAGACATAGACAGGGAGATGGGTTGAAATTTGGACTAGTCAGGCGATCTACTTCACATTTCAGCAAGTCTTTTGCAAGTTTAACTGGCCATGGGCCAACGGGCCAGCAGTCAAATTGACACCTGACGTATTGTGATATAGTGGGAGCCTAAGTGTTTCACAGTGATTCACAGCTATTGTACATGCAGATCCTATTTTCTACACACTGAAGGAAATATTACTCAGCATGGCATTTTGCCGCCATGGATACTGAGGAAATAACGTGAGAGAAAAAACACTCCGCTGTTTCATCACTCAATGTCGTAGGGAAACATCATCTGTGAAGGAAATTCTGTGAAGATTTTAGGATAAATGATCAAAATAATATTGAAACTCATTTCCAGTTAGGACTTCGGTAGAAAGAGCAATGTGCAATATGTAATGCAGGAAAAGTTTAAAGCTTATTGCAGTAAACCAGTATACCAGGCAGTCCTACAATTCATGTTACACAAGCTCCAAACACCACTCTCACTGCATAGGTCATAAGTGTACAGTGACACCCACCTCGCTACTGACAAACTGCAGTGACGTGGCCTCCGCAATACAACTCAGAGCTTCCTGTGCGATACTGCCATTCTTCACGTCCCCAACCTTGTCTACAATGTCCGATAGACAGAACTCCGCAGTCGTCTTTGTGAACGCAGAATTCTGTCCCAAGTAGCCGATGAGCTCCAGTTTCAGTTTCAAGACCTGGTCACAAAAATATTTGATTTATACAATAATATAGTGAATACATTATATTTTATCATATGTCAGGGTTTCTACAGAAATACAGTCATAACATTCAAGTCATTTGTTAATTGTACATGAGGTGAGGTGAAATTGGGTTTAACGTCGCATCCAAGATTATTGCACTTATATAGCGACGTGCATGCACGTGTATGTGTGTGTGTGGCTGCTTGTACTAGTCCGGACTGATGCCGATTTATAGTGCTAGCTCACTGAGATACCATGCCGCAGTTTAACATGAATACCCCACTCAGACACAGTATACTGACTCCGAGCCGACCAGTCCTTGTTTTAGCCCCTTAATGCCGAGCGCCAGACAGGGTAACAACAAGTACAATCTTTTAACGTCTTTTTGTATGACGCGGCCCGGGATCGAACCCTGAACCTTCCGCTCTCCGGGCGGACGCTCTACCACAAGACCACGGAGGCGGTCTTAATTGTACATGATAGTTTGTCTGTTGTTACAGCATCAGCTTCATCACGACAGCCTGCACATATTTGATTCTGGGCCAGGTACACAAGTCCACTGTTGGTATACGATACACACACCATCAGCAAAGCCACTGACCCTGACCCTGTCTCCTATTAAGTTGGTTGTTGGACAAGCATGAGAGAGTGATTGAGTTAAAGAAGTATTCAGGTATATCATTGCATGTCAGGTTAAAGTGAGAGGCAAGCCCCAAGTGATGCAGGTCTCAGATGTTCACCACTTTGGTGAAAATCAATGAGCATGGGCATGGTGCTGACAAACCTAGAAACATAAGGTGGTGAACTGGGATTTGAACCCACGATCATAGGTTTCTGGTGTGCCCAAGGGACGCAACTCTGCACAGCACATGTTGGCACCTTATACGACTGGGCCAAACAAGTACACAAGGTAGTGGAGACTTATAATGATCCACAGTCCCACAGTGAGTGAGTGAGTTGGGTTTAACGCCGCTTTTAACAGTATTCCAGTTATATCACGGCGTGTCAGCTTAATGTGGGAGGAAAGTCCGAAGTGATGCAGGTCTCAGACGTTTACCACTTCGGTGAAACCCAGGAGCACGGGTATGGTGCTGATAGAAACATAATTGGGATGAACTGGGAATCGAACCCACAATCATAGGTTTCTGGCATGCCCAAGGGACGCAACTCTGCACAGCGAATTGCGGCGCCTTAGACGACTGGGCCACCCATGCACACCCTCCCCTGAGTCCCAGAAGGGATATATGTATGAAGGTTGAGATAGAAGTATCTGAGTGTGTCTAGTCTTAAGCCGCTTTTAGCCACATTCCAGCAATAGCACGGTGGGGGACACCAGAATTTGGCTTCACACATCGTACCCACGTGGGCAATCGAACCGCAGTCTTCGGGTGGCGAGTGAACGATGAAACCACAAGGCTACCCGACCGCCCCAAACTCACCTGGAAGTTGGTGTCCTTCAGGCCAGGTTTCTTGGTGAGTGTTCTCACAAACACTTGTGTCTGTATCTCCTCCTTGCTCATTCCCTTCACGTTCTGAAACACAAGGAAGGGTGACTTAACATGGGGAAGTCCTCAGCCTGGGCTAACAAAGAAAGAGATCAATCTCTTTTTGTAATCGCTGCACACAACAATATTCTATGTATGAAGACAGCATGTAAATAATTAAGTATGCACCTGAAAAAGAAGTGATTGATATAATGAGCAACGTCCCACACGGTCAGGGTACGATGACACATGATCAACAGTCCCCGAATCTGACCATCTCATCCCTTGACCTTGAACGACAAGAAACTGATTATCATGGAGTATGGTTGAGCAGCCAGGTGATAGAAATGAGGAGAAACCTGGCCATGAATGGAGAGCGGAGTTGTCTTTCCTGGTGGTCACCCATCCCCAATCTGATCGTCCAAAAACAATGAGTGAGTGAGTGAGTGGGTTTATTGTCACGTAGAACACTCGTTCAAACCATGCAGCACAAGTGCGAAGAAAGCCTGAAGAGATGCAGGTCTTAGACACAGTCTGTGAATTTAGCCACTAGTCTGAAGCCTGAGTCTAATGAATATTCTTCAGGTCTAGTAAGATCAGCTGATACTAGTCCACAAACTAAGACTAAAATCTACTGAAAACAATGCTACATTACAATTTAAGCCCAGTCTTTTCGGCATGTTTATCACTTTGGTTGTTTGTTTGTTTGTTAGGAATATTCCAGCAATATGACGGTAGTCTGTAAATAATCGATAATGTACCAGACAATCCTGTGATTGACTTCATGACGATCGATCCACACATTTGGGATACGATGACATGCAGGGGACACCCGAAATTTGCTTCACACATTGTACCCATGTGGGGAATCGAACCTGGACCTTCAGTGTGACGAGTGAACGCTTTAACCACTTAGGCTACCCCACTGCTCCCAGTGCATCAGAAGACTTTGACACACATGACCCATATAAATAACAACTGTTACCTGTGAGAACGTCTCCATGGCAGCCAGCCTGAGTTTCCAGTTGGAGTTGGACAGTCCGGATATAACATCAGCTGACAGAGCCGCTGCAGCCTTCTCCTCTACAACTTCGTCCTGGAACATCAGAGCCATCATATAACATCAGCCATGTGCTCATTGTTTAAATGTATGTTTTCTTGTGGTCAAACACTTGTCAATCTTTTTAACTGTAAATGAGCCAGAATTGGGTTAAGAATTCAAAAACGATCATGAAATTGTCCTTCTTAGTGTTTCCTATAGAATCACTGCTCACATTGATGTGGTGTATCGGCCAGTGAAAGAGAAATGAAAATACTCACTGCAAGGATAGATTCGGTTGGTTCCTCCTTCGCTGCCCCGCCCTTCTTTCCCTTGCCTTTGTCCCCACCCACTTTTTTCTTCCCCGGGGGCTGCAACATACCAATCAGGTCAGTCAGCACCTTCAACCACTAATCCACAGTCTAGGTAGGACATGTCAGAATCATAAATAATTCACCATCAGCCATACCACATAGTCCATGATAGGACATGTTCTGTCAGACAATATAATTCACTACTTATCTCCCATTCGTGAAAGTACCAACAGCAGTGAGAAAATATTGTAATACAGACTGTTAGAAATGAATACAGTAAGAGGTGCTTAACTTTTAGCAGATGGATATTTGGTAGATCAGTTAAAAACATGTTTTACTTCATTCTGTTGCCTAAGTTACTAAACATACTGATTTACACAAATATGAACCGAATACAGAAACATAACTTACTCCTCCTTTGGCAGCGGGCTTGGCCTGAAATGGTGAAAACAGTCTTATACATCAACAGACAAGGTGGAAGACAAGAATGTGCAACGACCCCCTCTGTACTTCAGCATTTCCTTGTCCTAAACCCTTTAAAACCGAGGCTGGCTTGTGCAATATGTCCATGTGGTCTAAAGGGAAACTTTAATCTTGTGTGAGTCGGTCCAGTTAACATCATATCATAAGATCATAGGTTTCCGGACATTATACGTTTTAGGATGGCAATGATTATCGCAATTTCTTGCGCTATCACAAGGGGTGTGACATCATTCAGGTCATAGCGATAGCTGGAAGCACTTCCGTGAGCGGCTGCATAACATGCTTCGTCTAAAACTTCCAAAGGTAAGTACCTTTTATAAAATATGTTAAAGAGACGTACTGTGGAATCAGTTCTCAGATTGTCTGACATACCTTATATATAAATGTCCGTGCAAAAAGGACACTACATTCATGACAAAGTCAAGTCAAACTTGCATGCAAAAATGCATCTTTCCTTGTCCTGACAAACAAATAATTGTCACACTTCCAATGAGGGATGCTTACAGGCAGCAACACTGGGTTAGTGAACAGGGGGCGAGGTGAAATGAGGTTTAACGTCGCGTTCAAGATTATTGCACTTGTATAGCGACATGCATGAACGTGTTTGGCTGCTTGTATAGGTCCGGAAAAATGCTGATTTTTAGTGCTAGCCCACTGATATACCATGCCGCAGTTTGACAGGAATACCCCACTCAGAAACAGTATACTGAATCCGAGCCGACCAGTCCTTGTTTTAACCCAGTAATGCAGAACACAAGGCAGGGTAACAACAAGCACCATCTGTTTCATTGCCTCCTGGTATGACAAGGCCTGGGATCGAAACCCATGACCTTTCGTTTTTTCGGGCAGATGCTCAATCTACTCGACCATGGAGGCAGTCCAGGTTAGTGAATAGTATCGTTACAATTTATGACTTTAAAATCTGTTCAAAGACCCATAAACACATTCAAAAACTTCACTACCGATTCATGCATACTACTTTTGTGTATAACTGTGTAAGGCAATTGTATCAATACTTGTCAACATATAACCACCATTTATCAATATCTGTGTTTGACCATGCATTCTGAAAGATGCAAGTTTTAGTCCTATGTTTATTGAGTGGGATATAAACACACAACCACATACCCCTGAATTAGAGTCTGTAGCCTGGAAAGAAATACAGACAAGTCACAATTACAGGGAGAGACACGCCCACTAGTTGGTTAGTCTGGTTGTTTTAGGCCAACATCTTTTACATAAACCACTGGGCCATAATGACCAATGGTGTCAACCCACGACTTACATTAAGGAAAAGAAAAATCACCCAGTAAACTAAACACTGTACAGGTAAGTGAATGAGACTGATGGAGTGAGTGAGTATGTTTTTACGCCGCTTTTAGCAATATTCCAGCAATATCACAACGGGGGACAGCAGAAATGGGATTCACACACTGTACCCATGTCCGGAATCGAACCCGGGTCATCAGCGTGACGAGCGAACGCTTAAACCACTAGGCTACCCGACCGCCCCGAGACTGATGGAAATGACAAAATGTTATAGATTCGAGAACTGAGTGAGCAGGAGACTGAGTGACTGGTGCTATGCTGCAGTCAGAAATATACTGCTCAAAAGAAGATAAAGAGCACCTGTTTCTTTCATCATGTTCATATGACAAAAGTTAATTTGTCATGCCAAAGGGTGTGTGACATAAACAGCCAAGTCACACAGATGTAATTATTTGATCCCCAGGAGTCCACTCACATGATTTTTTGTTTGTTTGTTTAACGCTGCACTCAGCAATATTCCAGCTATATGATGGCGGTCTCAAATAATCGAGTCTGGACCAGACAATCCAGTGATTGACATCATGAACATCGATCCACGCAATTGGGATACTATGACATGACACACATGGGATACAGGGACCTAGATTGCCCCCGAATCCACATGAGGCAGACTAAAATAGGGTACTGGAGACCTACATCCTCGATTATCCGGTAAATGACAACTCCGTTCTGTTCTATTCTATTCCCTTGTGATGAATACCCTGGGTCTATTCACATAGACTCGTCCAAATGACAATATATTACATAAATTAGTCCTCCAAACAAATCACTCTGTTCTTTCAAAATTGAAAAGAGCAGTGACTTTGCTTGTTTAATGAATGTTGAACTCGGAACGTCTTGTGGCAAAATAACTTCACTCAGGGATACAGGTGGCCTAGTCGTCTTTCGCGGGACAATTCAATGTGCAGAGTTGTGTCCCTTGGGTAAGCAAGAAAACTATGATTGTGTGTTCGAATCCCGTTTCGCCCGTTAAATTTCTAGGTTTGTCAGCACCATACCCTTGTTTGTCGGTGTCACCAAAGTGGTACACGTAAGACACCTTCCTCATGGATCAAGCTGAGATGCCATGATAAAACTCAAATAGTGTTCAGGCAGTGTTAAACCCAACTCACTAACTTCATGCCCCTGTCTTAATACTTTTATTAACCTCCAATGATGTCATCCTATTGTTCTCCAGTCTGGTTATATCTCATAAACAGAGATGTTTAATGTCCTCAGGATTTTATAGGATACTCCAAGCTCATTTGCTATATAATGTGTTATAATATACCAGGGATATTATTAATACAATTTCCAATCTGATTGTAACATTTAATGAAATGTAAAATCAAATGACAAATGTTTTCCTGAGGATCAAACACGCAACCTTGTATCTGTAGCCCAGTGATAACCAGCTGATAACCCGCAAAGCTTTTCAGAAAGTCATTTTCAAGAACCGTACGCCAGATATTTAACACCCGTTTCCTAATGTTCATGGGAAGTATGTTTGGAACATAAAAATGTTGATAAATGTTGTTTTAAGTTTCTTTTTTCGGTTCATAAGTTAGAAAAAACACTTACCCTTGGCTTTTATCCTGCAAATGCGGGTTTTAAATATCATAAAAACCCTTGGATGTGCTTTATCCAACATATAAAACGTTTCTGCCAAACAAGATTTAACTAATGTGGTATATCACAGCCCGCTGGCATGTGGCTGTAATCTTGCATGCAGATCTATGAAAATCTTGCAGTAAGCAGATACATTTTAACCGGCTGTTGATCTTTAGGTCGTGAGTGACAGAAATTCTGCCGAATGTTGGTGAAAAGAGAGGTGGAGCTGGAGACTTCCCCCAAAAAATTGGTGGCATATATTATAATAATATAATGGAGATATCATACACTGGAGTCCCAACGGTGGAAAGACGAGCACGGATTACTGGGAACCTATTCTGTTTTGGGGATCAAAGGAAGGCTGATCAAGAAATAGTTGGACAACATGAAGAGTAATGTTACATATCCTAAAAGCAACTGATGAATCATTATTGAACTTACCCGTGCTGTTGGTTTGGCTGGAGGTCGGGTAACAGGCTTGGGCTCATTTTTCTTGGGGGCAGGAGCGGCAGCTGCTCCACCCCCACCCTGCCTTGGCTCCCCCCGGGCATTTAGCAACACAGCATTTTGACAGCACTCTTGGATCTGGAGATAGAGATGAGAAATTTTATAGTAAACAATTACCATTATTCTTTATCCTGTTTATGGTGAAACTTTATGTTTATGAACAGGTGTTCGGTTTGTTTCTTCATCAAGGGATTAAGATTTGTCAACTTATACCGAGCCTGTGTGTTTGTACTGGAGGATATAACCTTACATTGCACATGGAGTAATATATAGAACTCTAGCTGAGACCCAATCCATCCCTTGGTAGATGAATAGAGAGTAATATATCTCAAATGGTTTTAGAGTTCCTAATAAATGTGACTGAAACCCAGATGAAACTATCTCATGATTTTTTGTTTGTTTGTAATTTAACGCTGCATTCAGCAATATTCCAGCTATATGACAGCAGTCTGTAATTAATCGAGTATGGGCCAGATAATCCAGTGATTGACATCATGAGCATGGATCCACGCAATTGGGATATGATGACATGCATCAGCGAGCCTGACCACCCGATAGTTAGTCGCCTCTTACGACAAGCATAGATGCCTTTTACAGCAAGCATGGGTTGCTGAAGACCTATTCTAGCCCGGATCTTCACGGGTCAACTCTCTTATGAACTATTCTTCATTTGCAAGCTATAGTAAATGTCAAGAATCAGTAATACCTAACACTTGAATAAAGTCAATATGAGCTTCTAATTGCGATTTACCACCATTTTGCAGTCACAATAAAAACATCCAACATACAGTATTTTGAACACAAGGTACCATAACCCTGTATGTCAACAAGCGCACATAAGGGTAAATAAATAAATAATAGTCTTGGTTCTTAGGCACTGCCCACATCAAAGTCAGCTGCACGTTTCATTTTTATTTTCATTTTCAAAAAAAAAAAATCCTTACATTTTCCACATGTTGGACCCCGAAAATGAAATGCTACAATACTTAAAAACATTGGGATCCAATGTAGGATGCAGTTACTTACCTTTACAAGCGTATCTAGTGTTATGGTCATACTGTATTCCAGTTTTTAACTCATCAAGGAATACATTTATGTAGGGAGGCCCTTTCCTAGGTTCATTGTACACATCTGTTTATTTGGTTACATACTAGTTTGAACAACCAAAAAAAACACCGACCGCCATTGCCTGAGAACCAATTCTTTTATTTTTCTAAGCCTAAACAGTTTTATTTCATTCTAATAAATTCCTCCATCACCCATAAATACAGATGAATGCCATGCAGTGAAGTAGCGACTTGTGTTCTTACAAAGAAATGAGGCGATTTATCAAACAAGGATGACAAACGAACAAGACTCCGTGCATGAACTGTGTGAACGCTTGCACTGCCTGACGCAGAAGCAATGTGTACTGCAAGGCTATGGCACATGTTGTCAAGCAAGAAACAACGTTTGTAAGCTGAGTAATTGGTTTCCTCCCACTGGCTCCAGTCCTTTTCTTGATTCAATGGTTAACTACACTGCAGATGTGTTTATGGGATAAAGCATCGATGGAGACAAACAATGGGAATTCTACGCATGAAAGAAAGATTCTCACCTTCTGCATCTTCAGGGTGTCTACATCATTGAGGAAAGGAGCGATGTTCTTCTCCGAGACGACCCTCATGGCTGTCCCTAGAGCCTGGAAGGATGCTTCCCTCACGTCAGGGGTTGTGTCATTGATACTCTGAAACAGTCAGCCGGAAACACTCAACTTCCCATGCTGCTTCAACACTAGGGGTGAGTGAGTGAGTGAGTTGGGTTTAACGCCGCTTTTAACAGTATTCCAGTCATATCACGGCGTGTCAGCTTAATGTGGGAGGAAAGCCCGAAGTGATGCAGGTCTCAGACGTTTACCACTTCGGTGAAACCCACGAGCACGGGTATGGTGCTGACAAACCTAGAAACATAATCGGGGCGAACCGGGATTCGAACCCACAATCATAGGTTTCTGGCGTCCTAAGGGACGCAACTCTGCACAGCGAATCGCGCCGCCTTAGACGACTGGGCCACCCGTGCTCCCCCACTAGGGGTGAAACAATACATCAGTGCACCAGTGAATCGTGAGTTTTCAGGTGACGATATGATACACGATACGTTTTTTTCTGTATCTATGGCGATACACTTGCTGAAATAAATAACTTACTACTCACTTGGTGACCCCTGACGATTTTGTCAGTAAGAAGTAGCAAAATGTGTTGTAATGAGCGTTCCACGTTCAGTACTAAAAATAGCCACTACGAACATGTGTCTTCAGCTAGCCTTTCTTTTTGACCCTGCTCTGAAATATCTGGGCATGGGGGTACGGAGGTAACGGGCGATAACTGGATCAGTGGCCAATCTTTAACAAGGATATCTGCTGGTAGGATTTTGTAATCGGTGCGAATCTCTCATGAATAGGAATGACGAAATATAAAGCAATCTACAGCTCATTTGAAGCAATCTAGAGCACAAATTGGAATTACAAATTTCCCAATTCATTTTATCTGTTACTAACTATTGTCATCTATTTGTAAAAATTACTTGTATTTAAATTTGAGAAAAAAACAACCCAAAAGACAATTCCGCAATTTACTGTCAAGAACACTTCGTTTGAATTCCTGGATAAATCCCTGATACCACAAAAAAGGAATTAACAAATTGATGTATAAATAGAGAATCTCACCCAAGAGTCTTACGATATCAAATATATCAACACGAGTCAATAAAAGTTTAAAACCCTGAGGCTCACCACAGGGGTCCGGAAACCGTCATATGCGCCGGACATGTCCGATTGGGAATCTCAAATGTCCGTTTTAAAATATTGCTTACCGTACATTTCAAAAAGTATTGTCCGGACATTCTTAAATTTTGACCGGACATGATCAACAGTTAGGACTCAGCAGTTTCTGTCTGCAGTTGCAACACAATGAAGATTAACTACACTGACAAGCTTTGTTTGTTTTGATTGCTGAAAATACATCGTACCTACATGATAGTCCAATCGGTCAATCACTGTAATAGGCAATAAACTGAGTTGACACTGATTAATCGAGGATCAATTACTGAGAACATCTTGTTAATTTGAGTGAAAGGTGTTTACAACTGTACATTAATACCTTGCATCATCGATGTACCTCACTATCCTCACAATGCTACGATACGTAACCTCAGACAAGAAGCGAAAGCGTGACGACAGCCAGTCGACCGATGCAGATCTGCCAAACCCTCAAAGTCTGGACGATCATTTTGTAAGTCGTGGCTAACGACTTTCACTTGGTTGACATACAATGAGGATTTGCAGATTTTATTATTTTCAGTAGCTAGTCGTATATTGAATCTTGATTGACCGCCATTTTGCGCTCTCGGACGATCGATATCCAATTTTTTTATGGTCAATAATTAAGTACAGATGAAAACAGTATTCAAATAACTATTGCTATCAACGATATTTTAGTATTTGTGATTAAATTATCTGTCTTGTTTTTAAAAAAAACTTGAGTTAAAAAAAAACCTTTTCCCGTGAGGTCACGTGATAACCAAATATGGGATAATAGCCTCGATCCAAATGTTACAACGCGTACACTTGAGCAGACTCATGAATATAACTCATGAATATTAATTAGACCGTTCACTACGTTAACAGATCGTTATTATAAGAGAAACAAACGTATGTTTTCCATGTAAATCTAAATATTCTCTGATCTCTGATATTATTTGTTATTAATTGTCCGGTGAATTAAACAATTTAAATTGAAACAATTCATAATTCATAATATTATGAATACGTAAACTTGTAATGTGTGTGAAAAGTCGTACTAAAATACGCTATTTGAAGGGGGCGTGGCCTAAATGCAAATGTCCGATTGGGATTTTAAATTTTCCGGACCCCTGGCTCACCACAAGGTTTACAAAAGCCACGTAGTGCCCCGAGGTGCCCCGAGGTGCCCCAAGGTGCTCACCTTCAAGAGACTAGAGCAGTAGCCCTTCAACAGTTTCTTCGGCAGGGTCCCCACTGTACTCTTGGCAAAACATCTTGCAAGGAACTGAGCTGTCTCGGCTCGGATAGAGGGGTTCTTGTTTTCCAGGGCAGTGACACAGTCCTCCATTATTTGATCCAGTGAGGTCTGCCGAGCCACAACTCAAACATTTCATACACAAGGTTTCTACAGCGGAAACACCTTAAACCATGATGCCAAATACAGATCAAGATCAAAATCATGAAAATTATTTTGGTTAAGATATTTAAAAAAATAAGAATAACCCCAGAGTTAATGTCAAAAGAAAACATGGAGCTTTGGACAAGGATCTCTTGAGTTTTCGGGAGCTTGGATCAAGAAACCGATACAGCTCTGATCATTGAGCTCTGGTTAAGGAGGGTTTTTTTAGATCAAGGAGCTCTGGGTTTTTAAGAAGCTGGGTTCAAGGTGCTCTGAACTAAGGAAATATGGTATGCTCTGATAAAGTCACTCTGTTTTACTTCAGGTTGGTTGGTTGGTTGGTTTGTTGTTTAACGCCGCACTCAGAAATATTCCAGCTATATGACGGCGGTCTGTAAATAATCGAGTCTGGACCAGACAATCCAGTGATTGATATCATGAGAATCGATCCACACAATTGGGATCGATGACATGCATCAACCAAGTCAGCGAGCCTGACCACCCGATCCTGTTAGCCGCCTTTTACGACAAGCATAGTCGCCTTTAACGGCAAGCATGGGTTGCTGAAGATCTATTCTACCCCGGAATCTTCACGGGTCATTTTACTTGAGGAGCTTAAATCCAGAAGCTCTGGGTTTTTAAGAAGCTAGGTTCAAGGTGCTCCGAACTAAGGAAATATGGTATGCTCTGATAAAGTCAATCTGTTTTACTTAGGGTTAAATCGAGAAGCTCTGGGTTTTTAAGAAGCTAGGGTCAAGGTGCTCCCATCTCAGGAAATATGGTACACTGATAAAGTCAGAGCTGGATCAAGGTGTCCTCACTAAAGGATCAGTTAGCTTGAGTTCACCAGGCATCACTCACCCCTGCAAAGGAAGCATCGATAGCCTCGCGGAGGGAGGTCACCACTGCTACTTTCTTTTCTTTGAACTTCTCAATGATTCCTGACACACACTGAAACAGGCACCAACAGACTACAGATTGTACAAGTAGATAATACACATCGGAAATAATACTTCAGATTGCCCTTGACATGTGGGTACCTACCCAGGGAGCAGTCTCACTAAAATCAGATCTTTTACTCCAGTCTGCACGAAGACCTGACTGACCCTCCACGGGTCACTCCACGTTAACCCGAGAGAACTCTTACCGCCCAATCAAAGTTAAAGATGAATGGGAGTTTGAGCCAACCAGATGTCGGCTTTCGAAAAAGATCTGACTACATACACAGTCTCATATTCTTCCTCATGGGGTTGTCAGACATACCATCTGAATTTAGTGAATTGGGACTAAAAAACAAAACACACCAAACACAAATGTCCTTTCAATATAACAACATTTTGGTTGCAGATACCACGGCGCTCAGTGAGTGAGTGAGTATGGTTTTACACCGCTTTCAGCAATATTCCAACAATATCACGGCGGGAGACACCAGAAATGGGCCTCACACATTGCACCCATGTGGGGAATCGAACCTGAGTCTTCTGCTTTACGAGCCAAAGCTTTAAGCACTACGCTACCGCACCGCCCCTCATGGCGCTCAGCAAAACAGGGTGTTCATTAAAGTTATTATTATCTCCACTCGGAACTCCTGTCAACATTCATTTCTGAGAGATAGAGACATCAATAGTGCCGCTTTGAATGCTATGCTCGCACAATTGAGAACTAAACCGCTTCCACTCTGGTTGATTAGAAAGTTCCCATGACAAGATCTGTCTATGGAGGGTTTTTCAGATCTTCACCCAGACAGGCATGGAATCAGACGAAAAGATTTGAGTTTAATGAGATTGGCCCAGGAATCCCAATGATTTTTGTTTGTTTGTTTGTAGTTTAACGCTGCATTCAGCAATAATTCAGCTATATGACGGCGGTCTGTAAATAATCGAGTATGGACCAGACAATCCAGTGATTGACATCATGAGCATGGATCCACGCAATTGGGATATGATGACATACATCAACCAAGTCAGCGAGCCTGACCACCCAATTGTTAGTCGCCTCTTACGACAAGCATAGTCACCTTTTACTGTAAGCATAGGTTGCTGAAGACCTATTCCAATGAGGGACATTTTTAACTCACCTGATGAGCGTATGGCTGGAACTTCTTCCTCAGGCCTTTGGCTATGCCGGAAAGACACTTGCCGGCGAGAGCAACCAGCATCACATTGGTGTCCTTGGCTATAACCTGTCAGAGATATGTAACCACCAGTTTAACACCTGTAGAGGCAGTATGCAATATGCAACCAATTCAATGGCGGTTCTCAAATTCCACTCTATTCACCAAATCCTGCAACGAATAGTATCTTCCTACACCAAACCCAGCATTAGAAATTTGTACTAGTCCTGTTGTCCTTGCCGAACTACCTAATAGTTAAGGTATCGTAATGACGAGTAGAAAGTTGTTATTTTTAAGAGTTTTGCTATATATCATCATTATAAGGACAAGCGGACTAAAGATGTTAGTTTCTACCGCTAGAGCCTCTGTGACAAAACAGGATAAGATAATTACATTAGTAAACTAAATTTCACCAAGTTCTGCAGAATATGGACTTTCTATTCAGATAAACATGGACTGAATTATACCACGACTCCAAATGTCTTGACCCCGACTAATGGAATACGACTCCAATACATCAAGGTGTTGACGAGTGAGAGAATGAGTGAATGCTTAGTCAGCAATATTACAGCTTTGTATGGCTTGTAAATAATCAGATCTGAGGCGTGTTCAGGAGGGCGAGCGACCGCGCGAGAGTACAGTGAGGCAATATCACGCCTTTCTGAACGGGAGGTGTGTACTCGCTCTCGCGTCACAGCATCCAAAATGGCGTCGCAGGGTATCAAAACAGCCTTGTCCACAAGTGTCATAGGTTCACACATTTAATTTCATCACAAGTTTGATGGGTTCATACTTTGATGTTTATGATAACAAAGTGTTTATTTTTATTATTAGTTACATGTTCCTGTGCTGGACCAGACAATCCAGCAATCTACATGAGCATCGGTCTGTGCAATGGGGATACGATGACATGCATCACCCAAGTCAGCGAGTCTTATCACTCGATCCTTACGGCAAACATATGGGTTGCGGAAGACCTATTGTCTTCCCTGATCATCACGTGTCAATATATTGAAAATGCAAAAATAACTTTTTGATAACTCTTTTGATCTAGTCTAAAATAATATTCTTTTGACATCGGTTCCATTCTCGTCAAAGGCAAACATTTGTTCAATGTGCGACGCCATCTTGGATTACGAGGCGAACTACCTCTCGGGCTCGAGCGCGAGTACACGTATGGGTTGCGGAAGACCTATTGTCTTCCCTGATCATCACGGGTCAATATATTGAAAATGCAAAAATAACTTTTTGATAACTCTTTTGATCTAGTCTAAAATAATATTCTTTTGACATCGGTTCCATTCTCGTCAAAGGCAAACATTTGTTCAATGTGCGACGCCATCTTGGATTACGAGGCGAACTACCTCTCGGGCTCGGGCGAGTACACGCGTGCGCTCATGCGGTTAGCCGTGTTCAACAGCGCCCTCCCTCCTGAACAGGCCAATTCCACGTTGACGGATATATGACACACAATCAACGAGGCCTAATGGTGCTGTAAGAACTCATCCTTATTACCTGTCTCATACAAGCATGTGGTACTTCGGCAGACAAATTCTGCCCCAGAATCCTGTATAGAGAAGTATGAAGTAGAATTTACGTACCTTCAGAAGGGCTCGGATAACATTACCGAAGTCCCCGTTTTCAATCTTTGGGGAGTCTGTCAGTTTCTGGAGGGCATCTAGGGCCTCCTTCCTCTCCTGCCATTTCTTGGCCTCCTACGAGAAACACACAACCTTGCTTAGACCATGGCATGGTTCATACAAAACTTGAGTCACCAAGTCGAAGTCTTTTTCAAAGCAATGATCCCACTTTTCACTTTCAAAGTAAATTCTGCTAACACTTCAGATAAGACTTTGCTTCTGAAGTATATGATACATCAGGATCATATATGTTTAGCATTGCACAATACTTACTATTTGATCGAAGAAATCCTTGGGGAGTTTTGCCAGTATGTCTACAGCCTCGATGAGGTCAAATGGATCAATCTCTTCTGTTTCAGCAGCACCATCTCCTGAAACACATATTTGAGTGAGTGAGTGAGTGAGTGAGTGAGTGAGTGAGTGAGTGAGTGAGTGAGTGAGTGAGTGAGTGAGTGAGTGAGTGAGTGAGTGAGTGAGTTGGGTTTAACACCGCTTTTAACAGTATTCTAGTTATATCACGGCGTTTCAGCTTAATATGGTAGGAAAGACCGAAGTGATGCAGGTCTCAGATGTTTTACCACTTCGGTGAAACCCACAAGCACGGGTATGGTGCTGACAAACCTAGAAACACAATCGGGGCGAACCAGGATTCGAACCCACAATCATAGGTTTCTGGCGTACCCAAGGGACACAACTCTGCACAGCGAATCGCTGCGCCTTAGACAACTGGGCCACCCGTGCCCCAACATATTCCAGAAATATCCCACCAGTATCATTACATCATGTTTTGTTTTTTTGTTGTTTATCGAAACTCTGCAATATTCCAGCTATATGATGGCGGTCTGTAAATAATCGAGTGATTGACATCATGAGCATTGATCTAAGCAATTGGGATACGATGACATGCACTATGCCCATATATAGGAAACTGAACACTGGTCGTTAGAGAGACAGTGAAAACTTAAACCATGAGTCTACCCAGGGTTCCTGACTTCTGGAGTGAGTGAGTATGGTTTTACGCCGCTTTTAGCAATATACCAGCCATATCACGGCGGGGGACACCAGAAATGGGCTTCACACATTGTACCCATGTCGGGACTCGAACCCGGGTCTTCGGCGTGACGAGCAAACGCTTTAACCACTAGGCTACCCAACCGCCCCTCCCTGACTTCTGGAGGGAAGCCAGGCACAAGGATGCAGACGAAGGATCACAGCCTCTTTCCAGTAAGTCCAACTTTCTTTACATTGTTAGAAGTACTTCCAAGCTCCTCACAGCGATAGCCCATTGAGTTCTCTATACTATTGCTACCCCTACTCACAGCTCCCTACTGTGCTAGGCAGCTTTCAACCATACACAGAGTTGAACATGCAACTGACTGTTTACAAACAAATGATGACTGTTGTGATGTGAAATACCATTCCCCAAGCTAAACCGTTTTGTTCATCAATTTGAATTTCTATTTCATTTCAAATATAATGCAACTAGCAAAATGACTGGAAATGGGAAGTTGGGAGTTTTATCTGATTAAACAAACCAATGTAAATTCATCTGGGAAATATTAATTTAGCACTAACCCTTCTCCTAATTCATTATACTAGCATTACCAAAGACATACACAAAAATATGACTGTCACTTTATTACGGGTTTGAGGCCAAGTTTTCAAGATTCTTGTAATGGCCGCTTGCTAAATGGTGGTAGCAATGGTACCGGGAGATAACAAAGGTATCATGGGCAAGGAAGGAACGTGAAGTAGTTTGAAGTAGTTCAGATCAAGGGAGACAACTCACCTCCAGAAGCCTCCCCTGAAGCTGCGGCAGCTTGCTGTTCCTCTATCTTGGCTTTCAGGTCTTGCTGGGACTTCATGAAGCGGGTCTGAACAGGCTTCTCATTTGGTAGCCTCTCGAACTCAGCCTCCAGCTCTTGAACCTGGAGCACATTGAACAGTGTTACCACCAATGAACAACTACCTATTTGCACACACACTTAAATAATTAAATAATAAATTAATTTCGGGAGAGGGCAGAGTCAGGCGCGGGAGGAAATCCCAACGTGAAGTTGTCCTTGTCCTTTTCAACACTTTGGTGAAACCCTCAAGTTTGGTTATGGTGTTCACAAACCAAGGATAACAACCAGGACAGATATGACGGATCCGCTTTCAACAGTATTTCAGTTATATCACTGAACTCGAAAAAAAAAAAAAAATCAATCAAAAATCCCAAACTATCAAAAGGCACAAGTTCACCAAATTTGGTTAAGATATCTCATGGATTTTGAGTTCTGCTTCAGAAACAAAACGTGACGGACAGACAACACCCATTCCTATATCCTCCTTTCACTTCATTGAGGGGCATAAAAACCCACGTAAATCCCTACATGAGTTTCTATAAACTTGCATGCTGCTGTTCCCACCTGAACAGGCTTGAAGTGGGACATCTGTGGCTTCAGGGCTCCCCCAATCCATCTGTACAACTCAATGATGAACTGCTTCGTCTCCTCACGAACATTCTTGTCTCGGTCCTCCAACAACTTGGGCAGCACCTTCAGGCAAGGCTTGATCTGTATCGTCTTTGAACCAAAGTCTCTGAGAGAAGGACAAAGCAGCTTATTTCAGAGTGTGAGAACGCTAGAACGTGAGAATGAAATGACAGAGTAAGTATGGTTTTATGCCGCTCTTAACAATTTTCCGGCAATATCACGGCAGAAGACACCTGGAACGGACTTCACACGATGTACAAGTGGGAAATCAAATCTTTGGTGTGACGAGCGAACGCTTTAACCACAAGGCTACCTCCATGATGAGGAATTGAGGATTATCACTGTCTGGTGAATTCATTGTTAGCCATGGCAAGGGTTTACAACATAAAATTCATGAGATAGAATTCAGAATGTCAAGAGAATGTCAACACAATCAGGTTCTTAAAGTAGGGTACTCTAAAACCCTGAAGCAATGTTTGGCACTGGTAGAGTGCATTACGTCAAATTAGGACATCATATGTCGTGAAAGAAAATCAATTGTAATTCAAAGCAGTACTACCAACTGATTACAATTCAATATTTTGCCCCACTTGGGCGTTGACAAATGTTCAACAGTGTACATGAATTTTTCTCTATCATACAATATCTCCTTGTTCATCCACAGTTGGTTATTTAGGGGATGCTGTACATAGTAACAGCTTCAATACTGAATGCTGACTGTGGCGGCAAAAATTCTATTGTATTCACTCGCAGGAATTCCTCGCAAAAACATTGTTTGAAATATAGCTTGAACAAGAATCCTTGTCAGAACCCGCAAGTTGATCTACATTGTCCCCAGACTAAAATACTACTTCCAAAGAGACACAAGAAAATCCGGGGTAGATTAGGTCTTGAGCAACCCATGCTTGTCATAAGAGGTGACTATGCTTGTCATAAGAGGCGACTAAGGAGATCGGGTGGTCAGGCTCGCTGACTTGGTTGGTGCACGTCATTGTATCCCAATTGTGCAGATTGATGCTCATATCAATCACTAGATTGTTTGGTCCAGACTCGATTTTTTGCAGACCGCCGTCATAAAGCTGGAGTGGGGTGTTAAACAAACAAACAAAACTTCCAAAGGACTCCTATACACGGAATACTAGGGATGGGTATTGAAGGTTTAAAGTGTATCATAATATTTTGCAATGCCTAAGGCTGTATTGCAAAAGGTATCACGACGTACTGCATAATTTCAGATTTTGAATTCAGAGAAATCTGAAACATCAATGCATGGATGGAAGTTCACAAATAGAACAAAAAGTGGATGCTGGTACAACAAAATGTTTACTCATTTAATAAATATGCAGCCATCTTGGGGCCCTGGCTGCACGCTCAGGGGCAGTGAAGGTATTTGGCGAGTGTATAACATGAAACACATGATAGAAGTCGCCATCTCAAATCACCCAATATACTGAGCATGAAAAAATGATATTGTGATACGTATCGTGGAAAGAATGAACCTCAGTTTACCGATATACCCGTAATACCGTGCACCCTTACTGAATATCTGATACAAATACATACACTGTAGTCTACATACCTGAGGGCGATTGTTAAGGCTTGAATGCAACCAACGACTATTTTCGGCTGTTTGTTTTCAAGACCAGCAAGAAGTTGTTCCTGAAATGGTACAAAGAATAAACATATCAACATTGATTGATTGGGTTGTGTCTAACATGGCTTTTCTTCAATTATCTTGAATTACAGTTTGATGACGTCAAGCCAAGGAAAGCACGACAAATTACACATAACACAGGGATTAGTGATGTATTATGGTAGTATGGTACATCGATTGTTGTTGTGTCGAAAAGTAAGGGTTAGTAAGACACAAATTTGATAATTTTTTACATGAAGCAGGAACATGTAGACATAATATTAGGTTGCAATTTTTAAATAAAAGGTTGCAAATCGAACTCTGTATTATCTCCCTTTACACCGACAGTAATCGCCTAACAGCCAAGGTCATAATGGAGGAGTTAGACTTGACATGTAACTAAAGCAAGCAAGAATTTGCATCGTTGGAAGGCAAAACTGATGCTGCAACGGTGGCACCATTACCTGGACAACATCTGGTTTCTCTATCTCGATGTACATCATGATGATCTCCATGCCTTTCTCCTTTGTCTTCGTCTTGCTGGCATTCAGACATTTTGAAACCACACCAGCCACTACATCAGCTGTCGTCCTGCATCATCAACATAAAACATGTTTAATACTGAAACCTTTACTCTCTAACGATGCTGCTCTAAGGTTAAAAAACTCATCAAGAAATTGTGATATTGCCAAATAAACACAGAATATATTGACATTTAGATCAAATAATTTCAGACGTTTGGGGGGAGGGAGAGAAGAATAGGGAAGAGGGAAGAGGGAAGAGGGAATCATCAATGCAAGCCTCTGGCTCAGTGATTTCTTTAGAGGAAAGCACCTCCTGGAATTTTCATTCCAACATAATACAACCTGATTCCATTATTCCAAAATAATCCAAGCAGCAAGTTAGTTTCATTACAATTATCCCACTATAGGGTGAGACCAATCTAATTACAGATCCCCCTGTCTCCGTTTAATCATTTAAACATAACAGTACCACAGCACTGCAGCCCACCTACTTATGTAGTGAACAGTATTGTACGTCAACAAATGTTGCTGTCAGCATTGCAATTCAAATATGTTCAGAAAAAAGTGTTAACAAATCTGAAATAAGTTTGTTTGTTGTTTACACCACACTCAGCAACATTCCCGCTATATGACAGTGGTCTGTAAATAATCGAGTCTGGACCAGACAATCCACTGATTGACATCATGAGCTAACTTCCACAATGTTTCCAAATCTTAAAAACTTAATGTACTATTTTAGAACATCGGTGCAATGCACAACAGATACATTTACTTGACACAAAGTATCAACACTGAGACTCTAAACCTTCGGAATCTGGACTGCCATAACTTTGTTTCACTGTTTCCTGAAAAACACAGTAAATCCCAATGATTAGAACAAAATGTGATATCAAAAGGAGATACACGTCATATTTAATGTCCTTGTTGACGTACCTTGCAGCCACATGTGCATTTTCCAAAAAATGTAGAACAGCATCCAGAGCCTTTTCCTGAGCTACAGCATTGCTGTCAGTCACAAATTTCTTCATCAAACCCGCATACTTGTTGAATTCAGGACTCTTTTCATCGTCAATGCGCTGGAACAGTTTGCCTGCTTCCTCGTAACCCGCTACACGGGCCTTCCATACCTGGACAAACACAGAATTGATCATCACACGGAGTCTGTTTCCTCGCATCTTCCTGAGGCAAGGGAGTTAACTAGGGGTGAAACGATACATCGGTGCACCTCAAATTTTCATGTGATGATACGATACAGGATATGTTTTTTTTTTCTGTATCAATACAAGACGATACAATTGCTCAAATAAATTACCTACTACTCATTTAATGACGCCCACCCCAGCACTTTTGTCAGTCAAATATTGCAAACTGTTTACAAGTTCACTACTAAAATTATGATCATGTGTCTACGGCCATGAACAGAAATACTGATGTAGTGCATCACAAAAGGAACAAAGAATCCAAAATGATCCCCCAAAATGGATCTGTAGGCTGTGAGTGGCTTTTTATAAGGTCACCTTGTCCCAATTTAGGTTGGGTTAATCATTTATATTGTAAAAAAAATAAGAATTATGTATTGTCATGTTTTTGACATACAGGTTTCTATATATTGTGTGTCACATCAAGGCAATGTATCGCTGTGTATCAGTTCAGTGAATCGTTTCACCCTTAGTTTATATTGACAAGTGTCCGACTGTAAAAATTTGATCATGGACTGTCTTCCATTGTTCAAGAGTAACTATCAAAATACCGAATATTTAACACAATCAATGAATGTCATCCAAATAATCATTGTTTACACAGATGCTACAACGCAACAGGTTTGTAAGCACAACCATACTTTTTCGGATATGAAAACCCCACGAAAATAGCGCTCTCTCACACCATGCAAACTGACATTTTTGCACTCACTTCATTTTTTTTATCATGAACAGTGAATATGACATATACTCTTCAGCACTTGTTATATATTATTGGGCATATGTTTATATACAGGTGGTGAATAAAAACCGTTAACATTCGGTTCTGAACATATCACATATAGGCGATCATGACAAAACAATTCTTACCTTGTGGGTGCACTTTTCCTCTGTGGGGAGTTTCATCCATTCTGAATCATCCCCCATATTGGATCACTGAAAAGTGAATAGGGGTGACTATTGGTCTGGAAATGACTATTGTGATAACTATTGATGCTGAAAGAAACTATTGCGATAACCATTGATATTGCTAGCAACTATTGCGATAAATATCGATAGTCTTCAGTGTATCATTTTAAATGGATTTTACAGTTGAATTAAACCTTGGAACTGAAGTTTCCCTTGAATGTGATAACCATAACAACAAATAAAAAGTAAAGTTTGAGATATGACTGATTTGTTTTTTCTTTACCCTAATAATTTTAGAATAAGAAACTACCACATTACTTTTTTAACTGCGAGCGTGTTTCAGTGACTCAATCACATGATGGTAAATACAATCGAAACTATTGATATTCCTAACTGAAATCGATACTATTGATTGGAAACTGATTTAACAATCGATTTATTGACATTAAGTGCTTACCAATAGCAATATATAGATATTTCGATTTATTGTGACACCCTTAAAAGTGAGAGTTTATAGGATCAGCACCTCCTTGAAACAGTATTTCAGGATGATAGTAACACAGGCCATACACAGAGACTTACTTTGGTCTATCGACTTGAGTGTCCTAGGGACTTAAAATGCAGTTCCCAGGGCGATTGTAGCAACAGTAAATTAATTACACAGAATGTGTGATGCCTTATGCTTTATATGAATCAAAACTTAGCGGTTGAGTGAAAAAAATATGACTTGGACATTGATTGCATTTCTTATCAAAACAGAAATATCAGATAAATCTGACACATTTACAATTTAAATAAGTCCAACATCCATTCTGTGTTGTGTCTAATAGGGCTTTGCAATTGATATCATTTGCATTGATTCTCAATTCCTATTAATACAGAAGGCGATATTTAAAACAATGGGGCAGGTTAACGTGGTCCATCAACCTTTCTTAATATTTTTAACCAGAAATAAGTTGTTTTTTCTTCTAAATTCAAATAAAATTACTGTTAACCATGTTTACTTGTTGATATGAACACGGAAAGAAACAAAGACTTCCCTGTGAACAAAAGACGTCAGGGGTTCACTTTATATTACATATCTCATACCACGAATTAACAGTTTTATGTGGTCAGTTTGTCAATTGGACCTTATATCATGTATATGTCCTTTCTTTCTCAATATGTAGACAGTGGTAGAGGCTGTATGAAAAGACAACTGCTCATTAAGATTTACAGAATTAGGAGCATGAATTGCAGGAATATTACAACACTTAAAGGGGCACTGATCTAACGCAATTCCCCGGACTGGTTGTTGCCTTTGTTATTGTTTTTTTCCCCGTGAGTACCCGGATGATACGCAACGCAACTGAGCGTGACCAGAGACTAGGCTACTGTCTGCAAGGACAGCTAAATAAACTTGGAGGCTGGAGGCAATATTTGTTTTACGCATTTTTGCATAAACACTGATTGGTTACCTGTGATCTATAAAGATTTCGACAAAGGGCGCATGTTAATTAATTTCTTCAGCCTAAACAAACAGACAAAAAGAACGGCGGAGCTCATCGGATGTCGTTATTTGGAAATACCCCAGATGGTTATAGTTGAATACTAAAAAAATGTATCCATGCAGTGAAAGCGTTGATAATACGATTACTACTCCCTTGTTGTCATCCACGTTTTCTCGTCTAACCCTACACTTGTGTATTTGTCGTCATTCACTTGATGCTCAGTTAATGAATTTATTACAGGTACAATTAGTGGTAGCACCACTTCTATTACCTGACAAAGGTTCCCATTTGGCATTTATTGTGTCTGGGGTAATTATTCAATCTAAATCCAGGCTTGAAGTGAGGTGAAATGTGTGCTATGTAATATGCACGTGGCAGCCCAGCAAGAGATGAATGATCAGTGCATTTACTTTTTTTTGTAATTCAATGGATCGTTCCTAGTCATCAAAGGATTAACAGAAAATACGTTGATTGATTAATCACTGTTATCTTGCACAGTGGATATGTCAAAAGTGAGTGTTTACATGTCTAGGTTTACTAAAACAAAGGGAATACACTCATATCATGGCGTGAAGTGCCGATGTAAAAACAACATCTGTTGTTCAAAGGGTTAACTGAAAATACGTTGATTGATTGATTGATCATTGTTATCTATCACTCAATGGAATTTTTAGGAACCGTGGACGTTATGAAAATAGTTGTCACGTGGGCTTTCTCAGCCGACCCTTGAGACTTGATACCTATGTGAAACACCTGAAACAATCCAAGTGATCAGTTGAGAAACGAACATGGGTTATAATATTCCGAAACGATATATATCTTTTAAAATATTTGATTGTTACAGACACGTGACATCGAAAAAGTTTCTTTGTACAGCTGCAGACGAGTGGGATATTGTTCCTTTGTGTGGATATTCACGGATACATTCCTCGAACAAGGAAGCTGCCTAAAAATTTATACACATAAATTTGGTAGGTTGTAATTATGGTATTTGCATTTTGTTTTCCTTCATTTGAACCGATTTGTTCTTGGTTCTCTACGTCTTGGTTGGGAAATTCTTCAATGCCGTTAGACATTGTTTTCACAGGTCTTTTCCTCTGTAAGCGTGTATATATTACCGTCAATTTGTAAAACGTGATTCTCTCAGGCAATTTATAAAATGTGTAAATATTTCAGCCATTTTGACCAAAAAATCTGTCCAGATTGATGAAGACGATCAAACGGGCCTACAAACATCACAACAGATTATTATGTAGGATTAGAAGCCAAACAACATAGAAATGTACTTTTCAACGTAACATTTTCAGTCTCTTGGTGATGACATTAAACATCAAAATGTTTGGAATTCGTGATCATAATAATACAGATGGAAATGTTTTTCAGTCACTTTGTAAAATATTTAGACGTTTAATAAATATGTTACACATTTTGACAGTAACAAAATATACACACTATAAAAAAAGCAATGCTCAGGTGAAATATTTACTTTGTGTTGCAAGTCAAAATAGTGTAAACGAAAATCGCAAAATTACCAAGCAAGTGACTTATCCAAACTTTGTCACCATTACCGATGCTACCCACAAAGATACCTACATTTCCTTATTATCTCGAAAACTGTATTTCATTTTGTTGATCAATGTGACCATACGCCCTTATTACTACCGGTATCCATAAAAGTGACTAATGCGCTTACGAAAGGCGCAGCAGAGGTTGCGAACTAGTCTAGATTTCTGCTATACATCTGGGTACTCACTGGGTAAAAACAATAACAAAGGCAACAACCAGTCCCGGGGAATTGCGTTAGATCAGTGCCCCTTTAATGGCCTATAACACATTGGTAGTTTAAACCAACCACTAGTGTGTTATGTAAACAGTGCTCTTACCTATGACCTTTACATACCTTATTCAGGTAGGTAGTAATTCAACATATATTATAGCATTACTTTTGACTGAACTATGCTCAAGAGATTAAACAACACTGTTTATTTGCTGATGACAACATCTTCAGACATGTCGCAGGACGGTTAACCCATGATCATCAAGCAGTCAATGTGACCTCATCGACCAGCCAAAATGACATTTGAACTTGTTGACATGTCTCATGAACTCCACATAGGAAATAGGAGTTACAGAGAATGCATGTCAGTTTCATAATGCCATTGACATAATCATTATAATCATAAACCTGTCCGGGCTATCTCTCAAATGATATGAGTACGTCTCCCTTCATGTTTTAGAAATCAAGGATTATATATAGACTGATTAGTAATGTGTGCTCAGTGCAGCTGTGCGTAGGCATGAATGCTTAGCATGAACTGTCGTAACAGATTACTTGCTTGTTTAGCACTGGGTGTAGGTTCATAACTTACATGGTATTTAAGGAATGTTTTCTATGACATACTTTGACATAAGTACAACATATCAGACATAATTTGTGAAATTAATATGGCCTGTTGAATGAATCACGCATCTTTTTTCAGAGGGAATTCTCTCCAACTGGGATGACAGCATGTTAAAAGACACTTGATCTTCATCGTCATTACAGTCCTAACCTCACAAAGCAACGATCTAAATTACCTTTTGTGTGTAAATATCGTCAAGTAAACAAATGACAATCTCTTATCATACTTCTTCAGTCCATTTTGAAAACTGAACAGAACAAATTCGGGATTGGTCGATATAGATGGGTGGTTTCCTTAAAACTAATTTTAGGATATAGTATGTCTTATATTTCCAATGTATATTTTATGCTTTATCGGTTCAAATATGACAACAAGTTAATATTTAAATACACCATATATTAAATCATGAGTTTAAGGAGGTACAATCGTCATATTACACCAGTGTGAATGTTTTTAACATCTCGTTCTTAATGTGGCTTACAGAATCTAGCACGCAGAAGCGCCATCTGTTAAAGAACTTAACGCAAAGGGAGGTAATGAAATAAAGGTTAAAACGACATTTAGAAATAAAATATGGATGATTCAATGTGCAAAATATTGTTTTCTGTTAAAGATTAAGATATGATACCAACATATTAACACTATTTAAGAAATATTATCGAAAGAATGAATCAAAGGTTAAGGTCATTTGTTCCATGATGGCCGCCTCCTGAAACCTGAACACCACGTGTAGCAATGTTTACGTGCTGAAAGCTCTGTGTGTCTGTCAGTATGTCCAGTATCTCATATGTATCAGCAACAGACATTCTCAAAGATCCATTTTCTGGATTTAAGGCAATGACAAGTTCAAGAAAGATTTGCCTACCCCCGCGATACTTAGGAAACGTATCTCAAGGAATTCGAGATCAGCTGGACTCGGAAATCAACTTGTTTTGTACAGAGTAAGTGAGACAGAAGCATCAGTTAATAGTTACTTCAGTTTCTACTGTAAGACTTAACAACATGCTCTTATTTGAGTAAAGGGACACTTACCTTGATACCGTGTTTGGTACGTTGTGACATTTCAATGAATGGTGAAATGGGTAAGGCTAGTGAACATACTGCCAGACCCGTGAAGATCCGGGGTAGAATAGGTCTTCAGCAACCCATGATTGCCTTAAGAGGCGACTATGCTTGCGGTAAGAGGCGACTAAAAGGATCAGGTGGTCACGCTTGCTGACTTGGTTGATGCATGTCATCGTATCCCAAATGTGTGGATCGATGCTCATGATGTCAGTCGCTGGATTGTCTAGTCCAGACTCGATTATTTTCAGACCACTGTTATATAGCTGGAATATTGCTGAGTGTGGTGTTAAACAAAAACAACAACAAGAATGTCAATGAAGAATCATACTTTCTTTCTGTTAAGGGGTTTCAGACGCGTAAGAAACATTTGTAGTTTTCTCACTAATCATAAGAACAACTGTAAAACATCTGTAAGAATTAAAAACATGCTCTAGTTTGAGTAATGGGACTCTTACCTGAACACATCTGATACCGTGTTGTGACATTTCAATGAATGATTAAATGGGTCAGGCTAGTTGGCATACTACCAAAAGAGTGTCAATGAACTAATACTAACGAAATGCGTGTTACATAAGTTTTCCATTTTAAGTGAATATAGAGCTATATGTACATTTATGTACATTTTTTCTACTTTAGATCCATTTAACTAGTACATGTAGTAGGGACAGAGGTTAGAAAAAGGTTCCCAACACCCTCAGGGTTAGAAATTAGTCAATGACTTAGTTGATTATGTGTCAACCTGATGGCACATGACATTGCACATAATACCCGTGAAGATCCGGGGTAGAATAGGTCTTCAGCAACCCATGCTTGCCGTAAAAGACGACTATGCTTGTGGTAAGAGGCGACTAAGGAGATCGGGTGGTCAGGCTCACTGACTTGGTTGATGCATGTCATTGTATCCCAATTGCGTGGATCGATGCTCATGATGTCAATCACTAGGTTGTCTGGTCCAGACTTGATTATTTACAGACCGCCGTCATAAAGCTGGAATATTGCTGAGTGAGGCATAAAACAACAAACAAACAAACATTGCACATAATATCCACCTTTCATTTATGTGATCAAGAAAGGATTTTGAACCATGTTCACAGGCTGCTGATATTCCTGTGATATTGTTGACTTCTGTGTAAACAACAAAACAACCCATCCATTTCTAATTTGAGGAAAAAGACAATTATTAAAAAGGTACTTATCTCTGACAATTCACTGGGACTGGTTGTTGCCTTTGTTATTGTTGTTACCCTGTGAATATGATGATATTCCAGAAATCTCGAATAGTTTACGATCCGTGCCGCACCAACTGTAAGCACATTTGTCGCTTTATTGATAGTAAAAGGGCATTTTGACACATTGATCAACAAAATGAAATACAGTTTTGTCTTAGAAATAATAAGGAAATGTAGGCATCTTCGGAGGTAGCTTCATGGTGACAAAGTTTTGAGTGAGTGAGTGAGTATGGTTTTACGCCGCTTTTAGCAATATTCCAGCAATATCACGGCGGGGGACACCAGAAATGGGCTTCACACATTGTACCCATGTCGGGAATCGAACCCGGGTCTTCTGCGTGACGAGCGAACGCTTTAACGACTAGGCTACACGACCGCCCCTACAAAGTTTTGATGAATCACTTGCTTGGTATTGTCCGATTTTCATTTGCACTTTTTTGACTTGTAACCATGGTAACACAAACTTAACTGTAGCATTCACCTGGGCATTGCTTATTTCATCATGTGCATATATGTTTATAGTCAATGTGTAAAATGAGTAAAATTTTCACTGAGGCAATTTAATATTCAGTTATTAACTCTTAAATATTCAGCATGTTCAGTTATTTTAGAATTTACTGAAAAATCTGTCCATTTATGTTGTTATGACAATGAATTCCAAACTTTTATACGTCTAATTCATCACCCAGTGACTGAAAATAATAGGATTAAAAGAAAACGAAAGTAAAACTACATTTCTATTTGTTTTGTCGAGCATCATTAGTCTATTGTGATGTTTTTAAGCCCTTTTGAACTTCTTCATAAACTTTAGTCAGTTCGTTAAATAAATGGACAAATATTTTAGTAAATTTGTAAAATGACTGAAAGTGTTAGACATTTTATACATTACCAGAGTGAATCACATTTTACACATTAACTGTGACATACCTGTCTACAAACAAAAAGGATTGTAAACGTTCCTCCAACATTAAGCTGACATCCCGTGACATAACTGGAATACTGTTCAAAGCGGCTTTAAGCCCACTCACTCACTCACTCACTCAATCACTAGGATGATGTTAGTGTTATACATGAAAACTATTTAGTAGTTTCTCCTCCACCTACCTATGCCTACATAGATAATCCATATCATCTGCTGAAGGGTTTGTTTGAGTTTAGCCTGATTAATGTCATGTCATCACTTATTTTCAGTTTGCAGAGTGTAGTCATAGCCTATGACAACATCAAATTGCTGAGTGCTCTCGGGAATATTATGGATGACTCGCCCTTCCTCCATCTTCGACTACAGGCTGACTACATCCTCTTCAAGCCCACACTGGGGTGTGTTCTCAAGGTAGTCCCAGTCTGTGCTACTAACTCTTCTGTGTTAATGCCTTAGCTACCCTCAACCCTAGTACATGTTTCAAGTAATCAATAAATCGAATGTTGCTTGATAACCATTATAGAGTTGTTAATGACTAGATCTGAAAATATAAAGGTGAAAAGTCATATTATAAGTTATACCCTCTGACATGTGAAGGTCATGTTATACCCTCTGACATGTGAAGGTCATGTTATACCCTTTGACAGGTGAAGGTCATGTTATACCCTTTGACAGGTGAAGGTCATGTTATAAGTTATACCCTCTGACAGGTGAAGGTCATGTTATACCCTCTGACATGTGAAGGTCATGTTATACCCTTTGACAGGTGAAGGTCATGTTATAAGTTATCCCCTCTGAAATGTGATGGAAGACCTGGTTTGATGACCATTATATAGTTATTAATGACTAGATCTGAGAATGTAAGCCTGAAACGTCATACTATAAGAAGATATACAAGTTATACCCTCTGAAATGTGACGGTAGACCTGGTTTCACTTCCCTGTTGGCAACAATGTCCTGATTGCTCCTATTTATTAAATATTTTAAGTTGCAGTTACTCAGATTGATTTGTCTGCAATAGCTCTAAATAAATGTGTGACTGAGTAGTAAGGATTTTAAGTCTAAAGAATCAATATGCCCCTCTTGGGGATGCAGTATTTAAAGAAAGATTTTTTTTGAGTATTATGCCCAGTAAATATGCTTGTGTTCAAATTTAATAATGCTGTTCGCAAATATTCAAATCTCATGGTAACATTTATGGAATCATTTTTCAGGGGACAGTTAACAAAATGAGCAAAGATCATGTTGGTTGTCTGGTTCATGACCGCTTCAATGCATCAATCCATCGACCTCGAACCCACCTGAACGGCTGGCGGGGGTCTGTGCTTCGACCAGGGGAGGAGTTTCCATTCCAAGTGGAAGACATCTACTCCAACAATTCAGTTATCTCCCTCAAGGGGAAGTTGGTGGATCAGAAGTATGTACACTGTTTGTTTTAGCTTAATATGTCAGAAGTATATGATGCTTAAAATTTATACTGATTATTTATGCCCACCCTGTTTACTAATTTGAGACTAAGAACTATAAATATACTGAAACTACTGCTCACAAAGGTAGAACACGGTTGAAATTGACTACAGGGTCTATTTAGTCATTGGCACTTTTTTCCATTTTGTTTGTTGTTTAATGCCGCTCTTAGCAATATTCCAGCTATATGACGGCGGTCTGTAAATAATCGAGTCTGGACCAGACAATCCAGTGATTGACATCATGAGCATCCATCCACGCAATTGGTATATGATGACATGCATCAAAGTAGTCAGTGATCCCGTTTGTCGCCTCTTACGACAAGCATGGGTTGCGGAACACCTATTCTAACCCGGCTCTTCACGGATATGGCACTATTTGTTATTTAAATTGTTAAATTGAAATGGATCATACTGCTTATATCAGACATTAATTATGATATAAGTGTTTATCACATACCTATCAATGCTAGGAGGCATGTGTGGTAGAACCAACATTCAGACAGGGGAGTAATAACCAGACATATTTTGTCTCAGCCAGGCTGATATGGTTTGACAATTTTGAATGGGCGATCTATATCAGCCCAGATGGTAAGAAATTTGAGTTATTTCCCTTAGTGCCTATCTGCTTGGCTAGCTTGCCTGTGACAATGTCTTCCGAACAAGGTGAAAATGTATTGCATTAACTTGCAAATACCGTATTCGACGTAATAAGCGCCCAGGGCGCTCTCAAAATTAGAAATAGGGGGCTCTTATTAGAATGTTATTTTGGTGAACAAAACAGAGTTGAAAGATAAATTTCGTGGTTTATGCTGACAGCCTGCAATGTTTATGTACGACAGATATATTTTTCCAGAATTAAATGCCCATAATTAAGGGTGAATATAACACACGAGTGCGTATTTTACGCGAATAAATAAGTCTTGTGTACATTGATCAATCGGAAGGGGTGCTAATTGGGATTGTACACTAGCCAATATCTTAGCAAATGTCGCCGTGGGCGCTTATTACGTCGAATACGGTAAATAATTTTTATAACTTGATGTTATAGTATATGATAAAAAGGTTATTATATGACAGTTTTCATAACACACCCAATATCAACTCTCGGCCCTCATATCAGCCCTATGGCCTACATCCCTCGGTCTGATATTGGTGTCTCGGGTTGATATAGAGTATGACAGACTTGAAAACTGCCATATATAATAAACTTTAAATATGTATGTGACAGTTTTACAATATTGGCATCTTATCTTACAGGATCATTGAACAGTACCTAAAATCCTTCAAAAAAGATGGCAGCACACCTTGTGCAGGAACAACAAATGATGCTTCTCCAAGGGAGGATAACTCTCTTGTAGACTCAGAAGGGGAGATAACTCTCGACAAGGATCCTATTTTGTCTCAGAAGCGAGGTAGAGCAAGTTCAGGATCTAGAGACTTGGACATGGTTGATGGGAATTTGTCCCAGTTGGTTGATGTTATTTCAGAGAATGACATGTGTCCGTCAAAGTCCAAGAAAATGAAGAAAAAGAAGAGAAAGCATGTGCATGAAGACGTTTCCGAAGTTGCTTGTAAAAAAATACAAGAAAAATCCCTGGCCCACAGTGAACTTGACTCATTTACTGCAGTTTCTGTAAAGAAAAGAAAGCTTAATTATTCAGATTCAATTAATGAAAGTGTGTCGGTGAAAAAGGTTCACTTTGATCCAAAAGTTGTTGATTCTTTTGAAAGATCAAGGGAGAAAAAGAGGAAAAAGAAGAACTCTTTTGACATCTCAGAAATATCTGGTGAAGATACATCACATCTTGTAGATAGTTCCTTCGAGAGTAGTTCTGTTTTTGATAATTTCCATGAGCAGTCAAAGACAGAAAGGAAGAAGAAGAAGAAGAAGGAAAAGAATGTACTTAACATCTCTCAAATTTCAGGAGAAGGTGTGTCAGATTTTGGGGATAGTTCAATCCAGGACAGTTCTTTTGTGGATTGGGAGGAAAGTGAACAGTCTTGGACAGAGAGTAAGAAGAAGAAGAAGAAAAAGAAGAAGAAGAAATTTGAAGATGACAGTTTTGGTAAGGCAGAATTAGCTGCCACAAAAATAAAGCCAAAACAATGTTCACCAGAAAAAGAAACTGTCAGTGATGGTGCAAAGAGCAAGAAGAGGAAGGAGAAGAAGTCCCCGAGACAGAGTGTATCTGAGTTGGAAGGTGATTCAGAAGGTCAGGAGAACGTTCTCAGTGGTCTTGCAGCTGGCCTGGGAGAAATCTTCTCTCAGATGAAGTCCAACATGTCAGCAGGGAAGACGAAAAAGAAAAAGAATCAGAAAGATTTAATGGAGGTGATGATGGCGTTACAGAGTGAGGTGACAAAAGCAGCCAGCAGACTCACAACGCCCTCTCCAGCAGGGAGGAAAAAGAAGAAACAGAAGAAGAAGAGAAAGAGTGGGGCATCTTCCTCTTCGGAACCGGAACTGGATGTGCCCCGAGACAAAACGTCAAATAAGTCGAAACATAAATCAAAGAGTTTTGACTCGTATGTTACAGAGAGTGACCCCTCGACAAGTAGACAGAGTGTGAAAGAGATGGACACCAGTGCTATTGATAGGTCTGTTTTAGAGTCTGTGTCCAGAAAGAGGAAGAGGGAGAGAGACAGTACGGGGCAGACAGCGCATCATGACGAGGAGCTGCTAACAAGGAAAAAGAAAAAAAAGTTAAAGAAAGATCGGATATCAGTTTAAGTTTTGTTTGTAATGTTATCGACAATGAATTCATCATTACCGATAATTTGTAGATTATTCAACACATTTTGTTTTGATGTCTAATGTAGAAAGAAGTTCCCCTCATGTATAATGAAACTGGTGATATCAAAATGCTTTCAGATGTTTGAATAATGTTTCAAGCATATTGAAATGAATATGATAAAGGAAACTGTTGAATATTGTGTCTTTTGTGCCATAATCACATTCAATACACACTGGTACACTAATATATATAAAAAATGCATTTTAATATTGCTCTGTATACAGGTCTGGGCCACCTCCGTGGTCTAGTGGTAGAGCGGGTTGGAAAGCAGAAGGCCCAGGGTTTGATCCCCTGTGTCATACCAAAAGACCTTAAAAGATAAAATTGACTACAGGGTCTATAGTGAGTCATTGGCACTTTTTTTCCATTTTGTTTGTTGTTTAATGCAGCTCTAAGCAATATTCCAGCTATACGACGGCGGTCTGTAAATAATTGAGTCTGGGCCAGACAATCCAGTGATTGACATCATGAGCATCGATCCACGCAATTGGGATATGTAGACATGCATCAACCAAGTCAGCTAGCCTGACCTGCCGATCTCGTTAGCATAGTTGCCTTTTACAGCAAGCATGGGTTGGTGAAGACCTATTCAACCTGGATCTTCAGGGCCCCTATTGTATGTACCATGACAACAAATGAGTCTGCGCTGTGCAGAGTTGCATCCCTTTGGCATGCCAAAAACCTATGATTGTGGGTTCGAATCCCGGTTCGCCCCAATTATGTTTCTAGGTTTGTCAGCACCATACCTGTGCTCGTGGGTTTCACCAAAGTAGTAAACGTTTTAGACCTGCATCACTTCGGGCTTTCCTCCCACATTAAGCTGACACGCGGTGATATAATTGAAATAATGTTAAAAGCGGCGTTAAACCCAGCTCACTCACTCACTCACAAATGGGTCTGATCAGAACAGGACCATAACCTCAAACGATCACAAATGCATCTCATAGACGTGGAACAGTGATTCTGCACAGACTTTCCATGATATCATGTCAGATGAGGCGACACAAACTCGGATTGCAGGGTGCTATCACTGTTTAACACAGATATTAGAAAGGGCGGGAAAATGCATGTGGCCCACGTGGCCTTTTTCCAAGAGAAACCAGCCAGCTGATAATCAACCTGAATGGTGGACAAACATAGATGGATAGATATTCTCGAAATTCAAATGATTAAGATGATTCTGAAATGTATAAATATACTCAGGGTAGCTTTAAGTACATGTGATGCCAGCAACCATAAAATAATCTGTTTCATTCAATACCTTACAAATATCGCATCTCTCATTGTCGTTTAAAGGCCATGTACATAACAGAATGATAGAAAAGGTTAGATCGGAAAATAGTAACAAAACTTTACGTCATTGCATATTTTGTAAACAACACTTCAAATGTTAAAGAAAATGAATACCACTTCCTTTTATGCCCAACATATGCTTTTATAAGACATAAATATATACCTGAAATTTTCAGAGTAAACCCAAAAAAACAAAGGAACTTGTGGCCTCTTAAAATGAATAAACAATCTCTATCTCAGCAATCCATGCTTGTGGTAAGAGACGACTAACGGTATCTGGTGGTCAGGCTTGCTGATTTGGTTGATGCATGTCATGTGTTCCAATTGCGTGGATCGATGCTCATGACATCAATCACTGGATTGCCTGGTCCAGACTCGATTATTTACAGACAGACGTCAAAAAGCTGGATTATTGCTGAGTTAGCAAACAAACAAACAGAAACAAACAAGCATTAAATAAATCGGTCGTAGCCTTAAGTACCAGCAGATCAGTTCTGAAGGTACATTCATTATGACAACTGTTTTTATGAATCCTGGTTGTCCATCATCATGACACTTGCAAACAGGTGCTTGTGACAAGGGTTGACGGACCGCGTCCGTGGTCTAGTGGTAGAGCGTCCGCCCGGAGTGCGTAAGGTCCGTAGTTCGATCCCCGCCGCGTCATACCAAAAGACATTAAAAGATGGTACTTGTTGTTACCATGTTTAGCATTAAGGGGCCCTACCCGTTCGGCATTAAGGGTCTAAAACAAGAACTGGTCGGTATACTGTGTCTAGTGGTGTATTCATATATATATCGGCATCAGTCGGCATCAGTCCGGTCTAGTACAAGTAGCCACACATACACGTTGTTAAATACTCGCAATAAATCTTGGACGCGACGTTAAACCCCATTTCACCTCATCTCACAAAGGGTTGACAGCAAACCAAACGGAATAGGTCGCGATCTTCGCGTGCTGACGTCACGTGAGGCCGCCTTGACCTTGGACGGTCCTTTACCTCATTAGTTTTTCAACGTTTCTGTGTCAAGCTGCTTATAAACGAATGTCGACCTACAGCTTTGTTCATGCCAAGTATTTGCCACATTTCGCCTTAGGATAATCTACGAACCATGTAAACAAGAATTAGACCAGAGGTTCAGAATTATTTCAAATTGTGGTTGGATTAAGGATCGTGCGTTTTTAGCAAGTCGCGGGTAACTTGTTGCACGTGCAACCTTCACGTGATTTGCGCGTCAGTACCACAAGGAAACGTTCACAATTTAGCTATGGATAACTGTTCATGTCATTACCAAAATTATCATTTTACCAATACATTCGCGGTCGCTCGACAGTGATTGACTTTTTCAGGGGGTCTTAACTTCTGTTCAAGGTGTATATTTTCAAGCGTGAATTTCCATATAAAGGAACCTGTAAACAGACCATTCCAGGAACATTTAAAAAGAATATTTTATGATCTCCAACAGTTACTGTTTGTGATGACCAAGCATTTCCAAGGGGTAGTCGGATAGCCTAGTGGTTAAAGCGTTCGCTCGTCACGCCGAAGACCCGGGTTCGATTCCCGACATGGGTACAATGCATGAAGCCCATTTCTGGTGTCCCCCACCGTGATATTGCTGGAATATTGCAAAAAGCGGCGTAAAACCATACTCACTGACTCACTGCATTTCCAAAACCATGCTGGTCGAGCATACCAAAAGACGTTAAAAGAGGTTGCCCTTGGGGACAAAACAAGGTCTGGTCGGCTCGGAGTCAGGATACTGTGTCAGAGCAGGGTATCCATGTTAAACTGCGGCAGAGGGCTAGCACAAAAAGAGTCCCGAGTAGTACAATATGAGCTATATGTTCACGGACGCCACGTTAAACCCCTGCACACCTCATCTCACATTATAACATGTAGAGTCATATTGTGGGATATATGTTTTTGTCAAGATCACACCACGATTCATATTCTAAATACTCTTACGGTGGCACGGCTGGCCCAGTCGTCTAAGGCGCCGCGATTCGCTGTGCAGAGTTGCGTCCCTTGGGCACGCCAGGAACCTATGATTGTGGGTCCGAATCCCGGTTCGCCCCGATTATGTGTTTAGGTTTGTCAGCACCATACCCGTGCTCGTGGGTTTCACCGAAGTGGTAAACGTCCGAGATCTGCATCAATTCGGACTTTCCTCCCACATTAAGCTGACACGCCGTGATATAACTGGAATACTGTTAACAGCGGCGTTAAAGCCAACTCACTCACACACTCTTACAGGGTTTAATACAAATGAGGGGCGGTCGGGTAGCCTAGTGGTTAAAGCGTTCGCTCTTCACGCCGGAGACCCGGGTTCGATCCCGACATGGGTAAAATGGGTGAAGCCCATTTCTGGTGCCCCCCGCCGAGATTTTGCTGGAATATTGCTAAAAGCGGCGTAAAACCATACTCACTCACAAACACAAATGACATTTTGTGAAGGATAAAGCACGATTCCGAGGTTATGGTCGAGGAAGTAAGACCGAGGCAAGAGGGTATTGGTAATTATATCTTATTTCCTCGACCACAACCGAGGAGGAGTGCTTCATATTACTTATAAACCGTCTAAATGCAAGAAATAACAGCAAAAATAAGAAAACATTGAGATATCTTATAGCGAAACAATACAGTGTCGCGGTATAAAAGGAATATGATCAAAGCCTGCAAGAGAAGAAACAGGAGCAGCATAGACAAAACTAAGTTATGACATCTAAAACTAAACATTCTTACATAACCTGCCCCTGAGGCTCAGTGGGAGAACAGTGGATTACTCAACTTTACACGGTATATTAGGCTACAGGTTCGATTCCCGCCATTCATATTAAATAGGTTTCAATTTCTTGTCTTCAATTTTAGAACATTGGACGTTCAAAACACAAGTCCAAATTCCATCTGCTCCTCAAATCACCAGATCTTACTTGCAAAACGTTGAACCCCCAAAGAGATTATTACGAGATCAATCTCATTAAAATCAGATGTCAGATCTCGCTGCCTTGTTTAGCGATAGCGAGAACTAAGATCTGATTTCAATGAGATTGTTACGAGATACCAAGATATCTACAAATTAATAGACAAAAAAGGTTTATACCTTGCACCCAGGTATCCCCACACGGTGTTGAATTAAACGCTTCTTCACACCCCTCCTGGTTGTCTACCATACTCCGCTGTGGCCTTGCCAGGGGCGGTCGGGTAGCCGAGTGGTTAAAGCGTTTGCTCGTCACGCCGAAGACCCGGGATCGAATTCCGACATGGGTACAATGTGTGAAGCCCATTTCTGGTGTCCCCCGCCTTGATATTGCTGGAATTTTGCTAAAAGCGGCGTAAAACCAAACTCACTCACTCACTCACTCACTCACTGTGGCCTTGCCTTACTGATTAAAATGAGTGAGTGAGTGAGTTGGGTTTAACGCCGCTTTTAACAGTATTCCAGTTATATCGCGGCGTGTCAGCTTAATGTGGGAGGAAAGCCCGAAGTGATGCAGGTCCCAGACGTTTACCACTTCGGTGAAACCCACGAGCACGGGTATGGTGCTGACAAACCTAGAAACATAATCAGGGTACTGATTAAAGATTAGAGCCATTCAAGTCAGGAATGTGAATGTATTTTTTATGAAATCTTTCATACATGTATGTGATATATGAAGAAAGATCTGTCACTAGTTTCCATGGAAAAATAGTTACCTGCGGGTTCGGAGTGCGTTCCTGGGTGGAGCTCGGCTCTAAAATTGTTGACTAGCCGAGTTCCTAGCACTCTTCTTACTGCTCTTGTTAACGTTCATTCTTATAGATCGGTGATTTGGGGTTGCAAATGTCATCTGGGACTTAAATGT